TATATATTAATTTTAAATTTTTCTTACCTGAAAAAATTTGTATGGCTATATGAATCGTTATCTACCAAAAAACAACAATAGAAGTTATTTCATGTGGGAAGTAATATCAAGATACAAGGTTGTGAAAACCATTTTCAAAGAAAACTATTTGGTGTCATCCTGGAATACTGACCATTTTACCCCTGATGTTGCTTAGAGGCTTTCTAGGCCTAATAGGTTGTTGTTGTGCTGATATTTTAAGTTACCTGCATAAAAAATATAAGGATGAGACAAAAGCCTACCGTAACAGGGACCATATTGTTTGTTCCACAAACAAAAGTTTCCACCAAAAGGATTGTAGGACCGAAAGAAAAACTAAAAAGACTTAAATACCCATGGTAGGAAAAAGCAACACTGAGTAGATGAAGAATCACTATGTGCCCTTTTTCCCCTTCCTTTTCATGCGATACACGAGTAAAGGTTGGAGCGTTTTATAAAATGCTTTGTACTATATATGCATATAGATTACAATGTTATAATCAAGTAAAATTATTAAAGTAAAATGCTATAATAAGAGGAAATGAAACTATGATGGTATAATAAACAAATCAATACCACTATTTTGTAGCAGAATAGCTACAAATTTTGATTTCGTAACAATATTTGTAGGAAAATAACTACAAATTTTGATCTGTAGTAAATTTGTAGCAAAATACCTGCGACCTATAATTCTCTAGCAAATTTTGTAGCATGATAACTACGGATTCCGATTACATACCAAAATTCCGTAGTTCTTCAAATATTAGCTACAAAACGTAATTTTGTTGCTGATTCTTTAGCAAATACAACTACGTCTAACTACTCTGTTGCATAGTCCATAGTTACCTAGCAAAATTCCGTAACTATTCAAAAATTAGCTACGAAATGCAATTCTATAGAAAATTCCATAGAAAAATAGCTATGACAACCCATTCTGTAGCATATTCCATAGTATAATAACTACAAATTTTATTTCCATAGTAAAATTCCATAGTTATTTTAACTTTTTCTTGTAGTGAATATTCCATGTGAAAGTGGAAGTCTAATGGAGATAAGCCTGCCAATACAACAAGTTTGTAACACTACTAATAAATACATAGACTTATTGGGTTGCATATAAAATACAAACTAAAAATAAATTATAAAAAAAAGATTAATTTGTTATTCATCAATGATTTGATGATTTAGTTTATGTTATCGATTATGTATATAGTTATAAAACATGGTAAAACTATAAGTTATACAATTACGTTTTTTTTTTCAATTAATATTATTATATTCGATCTCTTAACAAATTCCTGTTATTGATTTTTGTAGAAAGAATATTTATTTTCATTTTACATATTTTTATAAATGAAAATATCATTGAAAGAAAAACGTAAAATACAACGTAAAGTTCATTCTATAATACATACATGGAGCAAAGTTAAAAATTAAAACAGCCGTGTCCTAACGTTGTACAATGCAAACAAAATATTCGTTTTTTAAAGTAGATTACAAAATCATCCTAGTGGCTTGCGTTTTCTTTGCTCTTCACTAATATCATATATTCTTTAACAACCTCCCTCCCTACCTCAGATTTCGCTAAAACACTTTATCTCTATAAAAAATAAAACACTTTTTTCTCTAAAAATAGCATCGTACTAAGATTTTCGCTAAAACTCCTCATTTACTCTTCAAAATTCTTGTTTTGTTCACTTATTTAAAATACTTAATTTCTCACCTACTTTATACATCATCCTTAAATGCCGGATGTTACAACTTGCAAGACGGTCTAAACGTGTAAACCCTGAGAATTGATGGAGAATTCCAGTTTTAGACTGTCAACCCAATCAAATGAAGCTTATATGTTCACTCAATTGTTAAAATCAGATTTTGGGGACGAATTTTTTAACCATCACCTTCAAGTAATGTCACTTTTTGTCCTCCATGGCCACTGCTCTTGTTAGCGTAAATGCTTAATATTGTTTCTTCACATAGGCAAACAATGCAAGGTCAATTTTTTGTTTACAAAAAGCTCACAAGTATCAAGTATGTATGATTCTCTAGACTGATTGTCTTAATCTTCACCTTTCTATCATACATATAAAATATCTATAATACATTCGTACATGCATACATATCTGTCCTGCTATACATATATCAGTAGTTCACTTTTGCTCTATATGCCCTAAAGTCCTAAACTCTGTATTTTATTTATGTCGTGGTGCAAATGAGGCAGTTGGTTTAACATACTGATGTTGCAATTGCTGTTTTTGTGGCAAAATAACAATCTCATACGTACATACTTGTTGTAGTTTTTATAGCAGAAAGAATATGAACAAAACTGTAGAACCAAACAATTATTTTCTAGTAATAGTAGATAAAGAATCAGCATGAAACAAAAATTCAAAATTTAGATACTTGATCACATGAACAGGTATCTACTACTTCTGATAGTTTACCATAAAGCTTGTGTTGTAACATCCGTGTTTCTAAAGAGTAAATTAAAGTAGTCACTTTGACAATTAACTGGCTTGTTTACCCCACCTGGCAACTAAATCCATCCATCCATATCCATTTTCATACATTAAAACTAGTTTCGGCTTTTCTCCTTTGAATTCAAAAAATTCGAGCCATTTCACATCAGGAGGCAAGATCCTCCTTGTTGCAGCATCATCCAACTTCGGGTGTTCCTGGTTCATCGAAAAAAGGCATAAGTATTTTTATTTCATGTTAAAGGGGGAAAATCCAAAC